GTGCCCATGGCGAAAACACTTATAACGAGACAATTGAGATTAACAATGCGGCGATTATAACTAACTTTGTAAATTGCGATGTAATTAAAGTTAGTTACATGTTAGAGGTTTGTATACTCTTCTAATTCTTCTAAAAACTAAATTAAAATTAATATAAACTTATTAATTATTGTTATTTTTTAGATTACTTTTGTATTATCTGGCCTGCACACAAATATAGAGCTCGGAATGCCTTTATCTTTAGGTCATATACCTATAGGTGTAAGGAATACAACAATGGCGGCACCTCCAGCTTATAATATGGTGAACAATGCAACTGCTCCACCTGTAACTCCACCTACGTATGGTTTTGTTGCACCGCCTGATGCTATGCCAATGCCAGTGCCTATGCCTATGGCAATGCCTGTTCCACCACCGTATAATGACGCGGCTAGTGGGTTTAACTTTGGAGGTTATCCCACTGCACCAATGGCGCCGTCTGCGCCTGATTTTACTGCAGCGTCAGCTAAGTCAAAGGATGACTGGGAGGTTTTAGATGATCCGACAAACTGTAAGTTTTGTAAATAATATTGGTAATTGATATTTATTGTTTGTTTCTTATTATTTCAGTGCCAACTTATGACCAGGCTATGGCTTATCCTACAAAGACATAACTTTGTACTGTTTTTATTTTATATGATGACAATTACTATAAATATATGAATATTATAGAGGTTTATATTCGATTTTGTCATTAATTACATGACGACGGTGATACAACTGTAGTAGGAGCGTAGGAGCTGCGATTGGACTACTGGACAACTCAGGCATGACTGAGCGCGTAACGCACTGCGCGTTGCCCTTTTATGCCTGCGGACTACCAGCAAACAGTAGAAGGGGAAAAGTGAAAGGCGTAAAATTAGTGGGGGGAAGATAAACACACGCTACAGGCGCGTCATACCGCGTGACTACACTCATAACATTGGCTCTTCTCCCACCATTTTATGCGGGTAGTACGTAAGTATAAAAGAAGCACAGTGCACTCGGCGCTTAGTCGTTCATTAGTCATCAAGCAGTCCAGTCGCATTGCTCAAGATTTTCCTCTCTCCTCTCTATTTGCATCGCACAAATTATGTTTAACATATTTTTATAGAAACAATTTAATTTATATCAAAGTGTACTTCATATATATTTCGGTATCTGCACAAAAGTAAACGGAAAAAATATCAAAGTAAAATTCAAAATCGCACCCAACATAACAAACATCAATCTATTTCCTGTTTCGAACATCCCCATCGCCCTGAACACAAATTTACAATCCCCAGCTTGACTCTGAAACCTTTCTAATTCATTCTTCACTTTACAGTTCCCTTTACAAGAATTAATCTGTACATTAACTTCTTTCTGCAGATCATTCACCTAAAAACATTAAATTAAATTAAATTTATCTATATACCATTTAAATAAATCATAACATATTATATTACATACATTTTGTATAACTTCTTGACACGTTGAACACATCAACCACAACGCAATCATTGGCGAAAACAACGACACCCAGTTGATAACAGTTATCAAATCAACCAACAAATCTCCTTGGAACACCAATGCCATCGCATAGATACCAAGTTGTAATCGATTCAACAAACACATGAAAATGTATGCAAATATCGTAAACACAATCGAATTGAAAAAATTCTGAA